GAGCTTGCCTAGCAAGCATGAGGCCCTGAGCTCAAAGCCCAGTATTGTTAGACACTGGTGACTGTCAGTGTAATCCTAGCCACCTGGGAGGCTGAGATTGGGAGGATTGAGGCTTGAGGCCAGCCTGGGCAAATTGTTCGCAAAACTCCATCTCCAAAATAACCAGAGCAAAATGGACTGGAGGTGTGGCTCAAGTGATAGAGTGCTTGCTTTGCAAGCTCAAAGCCCTGAGTTCAAACCCCAGTCCCACAAAAAGAAGAAACAAAGCCAAAAAAAAAAAAAAAAGACAAAACCTAGTATTACCAAATAAATAAATAAATCAGAAGGTAGAAGCTATCTAATATGTTTCAAATAGCACAAGTATTTGAAAGCAGCTGTTATAAATAAGTCATTGAGATACAGGAACAGATTTAGAACATCAAAAGAGACCAATTACAGGAAAAAAAAAATAGAGCGGGCCGCAGGACAGACTGACAGTGCGGCTTCATCGGGGGAGGCGCATGGCAGGGATGGTGCTGGCGCGGGCCTGGAAACAGATGTCCTGGTTCTACTACCAGTACCCGCTGGTCACGCGCGTTACATGCTGGAGCCCTGGGAGCGGACTGTATTCAACTCTGTGCTGGTTTCGGTCGTGGGGATGGCACTGTACACCGGGTACGTCTTCGTGTCTCAGCACATCATGGCCATGCTTCACTACTTTGAAATTGTACAGTGACCAAGATGTGACCAGGATCAAGAGGCTTCTTGGCGAAGATCCACCCTATGAAGCTGGAGTGAGAGTTCATCAAATGTCATAAGAAACTCAACTGGAGTGAACATAAACAACCTTATACATATAAAGACTAAAATTCATGAGTAGAACAGGAAAATCATCCTGACTCATGTGTTGTGCGCTTTATTTTTAATTTTAAAAGAAGCTCTTGTATAGTAGTTTTTGTCTATTTTAACACTGTAGTCATTTGTACTTTGATATCAGTATTTTCTTAATCTTTGTGACTGTTTCAGTATTACCCTGTGAAAGCTTTTCTTTAATGTAACTTTGAGTTCATCTTAATTGCCTTCTATTTTTGAAAACCAAGCTCATTAGTTGGGCTTTAGTGTTCTTGCTATTTTATGGCATATACATCTGCCTGGATATATTTCTACTCTTGACCAAAGTTTTGTAAGAAACAATACAAGATTTAGGACAGGGGGATGGGGAGGGAGGATATTTTATTGAGAACTACTTACAAAAGACTTATCTGTAAGCTTGAACTCAGTAGTACAGTTTTAGCTGTCTATACTCTTAACAGCTTTTGCTTTAAAACTATTAAAGTGTTTCTTAGCAATGAAAAAGAAAATATCTTGCTAAAATTAATATGAAGAACATTTCAATTTTAAATATTTAATTCTAATGTGGACTTAGCTTCAGAACTTTGATTCTTGTGACAATAGATAGTTAAGTAGCATTATTAGGTAATGCTTAGATACACTGTAGAGTTTCTCACAGAAGGTAGTTTCCTCTGAGGCATTATTAATAGTGTGTTCTTTCTTAAACTTAGTTTCATGATTTTAACAGGTGCTACAAATGTATTTGCTCATCGTGATGTGATAAGATGAATTGTTAAAAACCATAGCAAATCTAAGAAGTGTATAAACTTGGTTAAAATCCTTTCACTCTTTGTATTTTTTTAAAGATTTTTATTCCTTAGATGTAAAATGACTATGTAATTCTTTGATGTAAACTGATTAAATTCAAAGAGAAAAATCAACCAATGTAGAAATGTATCTTTTTCTTTATGGTTAAATAAATATTGATCTAGTAAAAAAAAATAGAATGATAATGAAAAAGTTTATTTTGAGTTTTTTAGATATTAGAAACAGAAGAAAGATCAAAGACAGAGTCATAGAAATTATCCACATAGGAGGAAAGAGTGAAAACTGAAGAAAATGGAACAGCCTTGGAGAGCTGTGCAATGATTGAACCCCAGAAGGAGAGTGGAAAGTCAGGAAGATTAACTGTGGTAGAAAAGTAAGTCAACAACAAAGAGCTGAGAATGTCCAAAAAAAGAGGAACAAATTCTATTTTTTTATGGTACTGAAATTTGAACTGAGGGCTTTGGACTTACCAGGCAAGCACTCTACCACTTAAGCCACACCTCTAATCCAGAAACCCTAATTTTTAATTTATTTTTAAAATTTTTTGGTGATACTGGGGTTTGAACCCAGGGCTTTGTGCTTGCTAGGCAGGTGCTCTACTTGAGCCATACCTCCAGTCTTAAATCCTAATTTTTTAAACACAAGAAGATTAACAAACTTTAGAAAGAAAACACAAAGAAAACCATACATAGGCACATCATCTTCAAGCTGCTAAAATCCAAAGAGAAACATAAAATCTTGAAGCATCCAGGGCAAAGGAACACATCATATCAGGGAAACAAAATAGATAGATAATAGATAACAAGTTGTCAAAAACAGTAGAGGCAAAAAACAATATGGAGTTTCACCTTTCTAGTACAGAAAGAAAAACCAATGTCAGTACAGGATTTCTTATTTATTTATTTTTTGGGTGGTACTAGGTATGGAATTCAGGGCCTCATACTTGCTAGGCAGGTACGCTTACTTCTTGAGCCACTCTGGCAGCCCTTTTTTGTGATAAGTTTTGTCAAAATAGGGTCTGTCTGCCCAGGGCTGGCTTCGAACCTCTAACCTGATCTCTGTCTTCTGAGTAGCTAGGATTACAGGCACGGAGCCACTGTGTCTGGCCAGTACAGGATTCTGTATTCAGGAGAGTACTCTTTCAAAAATGAAGTAGTGTCACAGTAAAGATAATCAGTGTTAGAAATATCTTTAAGATATTGGGGTGCTACAAGAGAGACAACACTACTCAGAAGTAAATAGGCAAGGCAAAATTTACTTCTGCAGAAGGGTGCATACCAGAAAGTATGGGAAGCAAGCACACCAGGCATGCCATGCTGTCCCTCTCTTTTGCCCCTGGATCGGGCAGGTTTTGGACTCACAGTCTACATGGTTGGGGCCAGCTTGGGAGGGAGCTTTGAGAACAAAGAAGTTTAAAAGTTCAGGGAAGCAATAACTGTTTTTTGTTATCAGCTCTGGAACCAGGGCATCTAGAGGAATTTTTGCCCTTTTCTTTTCCAGAAAAGACCTTATCTAGGCTGAGTCTTACATCAGGAACAATGTGATGAGTAGAGGTTGATTCCAAGAATCAAGCAGGTAAGACTAAAAAGCCATAATACAGCAGCACATTTTTTTTTTACATTCATGTAAGAAACCCCTTGCAAGTAGTTTGTCAAAAGCTGATGGTTTAAAGCAATGGTTTTGCGGTGCACCGGTGGCTCAGGCCTGTGATCCTAGCTACTCAGGAGGCAGAGATCAGGAGGATTGAGGTTTGAAGCCAGCCAGAGGAAATAGCTCGTGAGATCCTATCTCTAAAAACCCTTCACAAAAAAAAAATAAGGCTGGTGGAGTGGCTTAAGGTGAAGGCCCTAAGTTTAAACTCCAGTACCACAAAAAAAGGAAAAAGCAATGGTTTCTGGCTTGGTCTCAAACTGTACAACTTTGAACAGTATTGATGCTTGAGTCCCAGTACAGATTCTGATTTTATTTATGTGTTTATTTATTTTTGTCAGCACTAGGATTTGAACTCAGGGCCTCATGCTTGCTTGGCAGGTGCGCTACCACTTGGGCCACTCTGCCAACTTTTTTTGTGATTTTTTTTTTTCAAGATAAGGTGTCTTGAACTATTTGCTGGGGGTGGTTTTGAACCTCTATGCTCCTGGATCTCTGCCTCCTGAGTAGCTAGAATTACAGATGCCCAGCTCTCCTAATTTAAAGTTGGATCTCTTGTTGGATGGTGTTGAGTTATACTGTGATCAATGCAGATTTTTATGCATATGATTGTTGTTTAAACTCACAAAGTACCACTCTATGGGGAAAAACCAGACATCCACAGCCTGCCTTAACACGTCGAAGGCAAAATTGCAAAATTTATTTTTAAGTTTATTAAAGTTCTAAATTATTAATTTAATTTATTTAAATTCTGTGGTCAAGTCTGTGAACAGATCTGAAGACTCCTGGGAACTCATCTTCTTTTGTTTGCTGTCTGATCTCTGGAAGGGGGATGGGCCTGTGCCTAGAAGCAGGTGGGAAAGAGTGGTCTACCTTTGGGCATTCCTTCTTGGAGCCCTCTGCTCTCTTCAGGACACTACCCTTCTCCTCCAGCTTGAGAAATATTGGTAAGGGAATCCCCTTATCAAGGAAGGATGTCCCCTCACCACTGATATAAAAAGGAATGATTCAGGCTTTTCATGTCCCTGAAGTCAGGGGAGCCATAGCTTTCAGAGCTGAAATGTAGCTGCTCTGAACTAAGATGTGCTGGAGACTTAAAATAGAAAGTTTTAAAGATTTTGTGCCAAATATATATAAACTTCACTAGTAACTATATTGATTACATATTATAATAAGATTTTCAATATACTGTGCTATTGCAATCAATTTCACCTGTTCCTTTCAATTTTTAACATGTGAATGCTAGAAAATTTAAAATTACAATTGTGCCTTATATTTTATTTGCTTGGGACATTTCTGCACTTTGGGGGATTGCTTCCCTGTTCAAAACTCAAGCAGTCCTCTTAACAAGATCAGAACCCAGGAAAGTTACCAGAAATTTTCAAATAAATGTCATTATATTCTTTCCACTTGTGAATGATATATACCCATATATGTAACTTATAAATTGATATGTCCTTTCATACAAAGTTAAATGCTAAGATCTTCCTGGACGGAATGATAGCCCTATGGAGGAAGTCCTGCCTTAAAAAACTGCGAATACTCCTTTCCCAGTCTGGCCTTATTCAGTCCTGGGTTGACGCCATTTACTGTCATTCATGGCGCTAGGGGGCGGGACCTAAAGCTATATCCAATCAGACACAGAGTCTGAGAAGCGGAGGCGGGTTTTCACAATCTCGCGGGTCTTTGTCTCTGTGGTCCGCCATCTTGGTATCCGTAGCTAAGCTCAGTGTGGCGGCCTACGTGTTTCCGAGGTGTTTTCGTGGTCCTACCGTTAGCCAGTGCCTGGAGAGCCATACGGAGTACACACAAACCAGAAATGGTGAGTGTGCGGCTCACGTCCCGAGATGGGGGAGGGGAACTGGCGGGAACCGGCAGTGGCGGGACCGGACCTTCCTTGTTTCTGCGTTGGAGTCTTCAGGCCGGAGTTCTCTTCAGTGGCAGCTGGGCCTTCGGTTCGCTCCGGCTGTGGGTTGGGGCTGGGCTCGCAGCCGGGACTCCCTCCGTCCTGTCCTGTCGTCAATGGAGCATTCTTTGTGGCTCCCTTTGCCTGCCCCGAGTCTGCCCAGGTGGCGTGGTGACCACCCAGAGGGTCATCAGAGGAGAAATCCCATTCGGTGTGAGGGATTCCTGCATCAGAGGAGCTGGGAGCCGGAGGGCCCTGTCCCTCACTTTCCCTGAGTGGTCACTGGAATTCTCCTTAATTTTTTAAATGTGTGGGAAGCTGCATCTCAAACTCTGTCTCGCCAGCCTGGCTTCTTCTAGGTCTGATATATTTTTTGGTACTGACATTTGAACTCAGGGCATCATGCTAGGCTGGCAGTCTACCACTTCAGCCACTCCACCAGCCCCTGGCAATAAATTCCTAAAGTTACATCTCTCTGCCCGCATTCCTGAACAACTTTTTTCCATGACATTATCAACTGTTAGTTTTCCATACTATATTTCACAGGGACTTAGTGTTTTGTGATTCCCCAAGTGCTGGATGGCAGCTTTTTAAAGGATTTATTTTGTGTTTGTGAACACTTCATATGAAAGGAAAAATGGAAGAGTCATTTTACTCCCTGTAATAAAATCTTTGTGCCTGTCTTTTTGTCTTCTTCTAGCACAGAAACCTTATTAAATGTCTTTTGGTCGAACTTCCCACTTGGAGACTTTACTGGGTGAGGAGTCAGCCCACCCTGCAGTTTTTTACTGGTCCTGGGTATCAGAAGTGCCTATCACCAGGTGCCCACAGCTGCCACATCTCTGGAGTGTCTAGGAGTGTCAGCCCCTGGGTGCTGTCCTAGAGAGCAGCCTGAGGTGTGGGAATGGAGCCTCTTAGAGCAGCTGGGTTCCCTGGGGCTGGGAGGAATCACCTTACTTCCCCTCTTCTAAAAGGCACTTCAGTTTGCATATCTTGGCTATTGGGAGTAGTGTTACTGTGAACTTCAGAGTTCAATTGCTGGATTGTATGAAAGTTTTAGTTTTGTGAAGAGGTTCATACTGTTTTCAAAATGACTGTCCTAGCCTGGCTCTTGTGGCTTGCGCCTACAATCCTAGCTACTTGGGAGGCGGAGATTGGAAGGGTTGCAGTTTGAGGCCAGACTGGGCACATACACACATTGTATTCTAGGGTTCCCTTTTTTCCATATCCATGTCTTCTGGAACATTGTTTTTCACGTTTTTGATAAAGCTTTTCCAAGAGCTGTGCTCAGACTGTAGATCAGCCTTTTGCTTCATTTAATTCCTGGCGCAAGTTAGTTAAAAGTCCAGGCCATCAAGTAGTCTCTGGAAGAGTGTGCTGCCAACTTTTCTTAGGAATAAACAGGAGTCTGTGCTTTTTAACACAGGCTTCTCTGCACTCCTGGGGACGGGGTTTGCATACCTATTTAAAATCATTTTTTAGGTTGGCTGATCTAGTGAGATTTGCATGTGCCCAGTCCCTTAGTCCCAGAGTTTGGAGGTTTAGTCCCTGGAATGGAAGATGTGAAAGTTGGGTCACTTAGAGCCTGAACCACTTGCAGGAGGAATTGGCATACCTGGAGTTACAGGTGGGATGAGCTTGGGAAGAAGGTTTGGAAGGTCCTGACCTCCACTTAGGCTGTCAGAATATATTTTTTCAGTCTTAACCCTCCAACGAGACTAGATAAAAGTCCAGCTGTCAGCAATAGCAATAGGCATAGATATGCTGGCGAATCCCTTCTAGGGAGAGACTGGCATCTTTGGATGAAACCAATAGGAAGTACTTGGATGACCCTATAAAAACCACCACTGTCTCCCAAGTCTTGAGACTTGTGTGTGTGTGGTCCTGTTCTTGCAGCACTAGGGAAATTAAGATTCAGACCACAGGGAAATTAAGAGTTGTGCTTTAGGTATGGTCCTAAGTTTTCCTCAGGGTGTACTACTAGGTGTTGAGGATTCTTTGTCAAGTAAATGGAACTTTGCTCAAGGCAGAATTTTTTCCTCAGCTTTTCTGCTCATTTGATGTAGATGTTCTCTGTTTCCCAGTATATAAGAAGTTTCTCACTCATTTATGGCTTTATCTCAGAGGACCTTAAATCATGAGTAGATGTTTATTCTGTGTGTCCATGGATGGAGACTCAGGAGCTGTCTATTTTGCTGTATTTTCCAATATCAACTTTCTTAATATCTTGTAACAATGTATAACCTTATTTTTGGTGCTGGGGACTGGAATCGGCCTAGTACATTCTGGGCATGAACTCTTATCAACTGAGCTATGCTCCTAGCCCCAACATCTGCCTTGTTTTTTTAAAGTGATAGTAAAGTTTATTAGGAAAGGAATATACTTTCAATAGACTGAAAGCAGGTCATCTCTAGAGAGAGAATGAGAATGACCCCAACATCTGTCTTTTGATTGGGTTGTTTAATCCATTCACATTTAATGTTATTCTTGATAAGGTTGTATTTATATAATTCTTTTTTGTTCTAACAGTAGAACATTTTATACGTTTATATGGTTCATCAGTGAATTTTGTTTGCATTATGATTCCTTGGTCTTTATTATAGCTTTGTAATATGCGTTAGTTTCAGGTAATGATAGCCATTCCTGTTGCTCTTATAACTCAAGTTTCTTTGCTAATTTTATATATATATATATATATATATATATATATGTGCATATTTATGCACACACAAACATATATGTATACACATAAACACATACAAGTACAATGTATAACTTCCCAGGTGAATTTTAGTATTGTTTTTGTCTGTGTCATTTAGGTTTGTGTAAGTAAACTCTGTGATGTTTTCACAGTGAAGGAATCATCTGACAAATGTATTTCCCAGAATGTATCCTCAAGGTTAACTGCAACATGATTATATATATAATATATATTATAATCATATATACTATATAATTAATATAGTTTTTTCATTATAAAATTTGCCAGTTTTTTTTTTTTTTTTGGTACTGGAGTTTCAACTCAGGGCCTTATGCTTGCTCAGCTGGAGTTCTACCACTTGAGCCACTCTACCTATCCTTTTTTGTGTTGTGTATTTTCCCACATAGGGTTTCATGAACTACCAATCCTACTGATCTCTGCCTCCTGAGTAGCTAGCATGCATGAGCCAGTGGCACCTGGCAGTATCTTTTTGCTTTCATGGTTTTCTTTCCTTTACTGTTCTTTTATAAAACTTGACTTTTCTTAACTATTAAAAATTATAATTATCTAATGATTTTTTTTCCTTCTAGTGCTGGGGATTGAGCTCAGAACCTTAGTCCTGAGCTAGGCAGGCCCTCTACCACTTGAGCCATGCCCCTAGCTATCTAATGAAGTCTTAATCTCTTATTTATATTAAAAGTGTATGTTCCTTTTTTTTAAATCTCAGCTTTAGCTTCATCCTACTTTTTTAAACAGCTCCATTAAGGTATAATGTGCAGATATTTAAGGCATATTCTTTTTGTGTTTTAACACATGTATATCCATGAAACCAGTACCACAGTCAACATAATTAAAATATTTGTTATTCCAAAGTGCTTCCTATTATAATCCTTTTCCTTTGCTGTCTTTTTATTTAATAAAGTTGATTTTATTGAGCCAAACAAAAACAGGAGAAACATTAAAATTATATATAAGATAGTGAATTATTGCAATGGGAACACACCGTTCAACTACTATTTAGGTCAAGAAATGGAACATTAGAGACGCCCCAGAAAAGCCCTTGCTGTCTTGTCTGCAGTGGTAACTACTATTTTTCTACTCCAATCCGTACTGATAGAGTATTCTTACGGAGTCTTTTAGTGTGTTTCTGTTCTTGGTAAGAGTAGAATTGATGGTTTGTAGGGTGTATTTGAGAAGTTATTATGAAATCATTTTCCAAAGTGACTCAACCAAGTTACTCTGCCACCAGCAGTGTTTGATGATTCCAGGAACTATGATCACTAAGTCTGTTTTTTGTTGTTGTTGATGTTCTTGTTTTGCCTTTGTTGTCATTGTGTTCACTATCCTGGTGAGTTTGCAGTGCTATCTGCTGATTTTAATGTTAATTTCCCTAATTAGACTGTGCACATGTATTCACATATCTGTTTTGTCTTTTGTGGTGTTGAGGCTTCCACATGCTATGCAGATGTTCAGCCACTGAGCTCTACCCTCAGCCCTGTTTGTCGATTTGTCTCCAGCTCTATAATTACTTGTAATTGAAATAGAACATGATGTAAAACATCACTTCAGAGAGTAATACACTTTGTAAAGATAATTTTGCTTTAATTTTTGTTAAGTTTTTCAAGTGTGTATGGGTGTGCACGGGAATGTAATATAAGATATATTTCTTACCATGGGTGAATTCCAAAATACCTGTAAACTTCAGGATTACTCACTTAGTCTGTGAAATGTCTTTATCAGTCTAATGAGAAATTACCAAGTCTTTATACCAAGCTGTATCTCGTTTTTAATTGCCACGCATATCTGCTTACTTGAGGGAAATCTGTTGATTTTAATGAGTCTCGTGTCTTTCTATGCTTTTGTGTACGTGTGTTTAGTATTCTCTTCTGTATCTTGTGCTGCAGTTGCCCTCTGCTCCATGGTTCCAGGTCTAGAATAAGGGTATCAGTTCAAATGCATCTACGACTATTATTGAAATAGGGCTGGAGGAGTGACTCAGACTGTAAGAGCACCTGCCTTGCAAGCGTGACACCCTGAACCTCAGTGCCACCAAAAAAAAAAAAAGAAAAAGAAAAAGAGATATAATTTGTGGTGAGGCGTTACCACGGATAACACGAGTTGACAATGAGATGAATGCAGAGGAGACTCAGGCACCTGAGAATGCCATGGCAATGTTGTCCAACAAAATTTGTTAGCTTTCTGTTCTCTACATTCT